GAGGATTTGTGGTTACGGTGAGTAAATTTAGTTATAAATTTTTCTAAATTATTTTTCGTACGTGTAGGGATAGATATACAGGAGCAAAATATTAGTATGTTTAGATTTGTAGCTGATATAGTAGTAATAGCATCTAGCAAAGAGGAGTTTGAGATAACTTTAAATAAAATAAAAAGATTGTTAACGGTGTATGTTTGGAGCGCGGCGCTGTACGGGTGCGAAATACAGACGGTGGGCGCGGTGGAAAAGAAAAGGTTAGAAGCGTTCGAAAAGAATAGGAGAACAGAGTACTCTATGGAAGTCGATAAGAAATAGGCGAGATAGGTTTATGGGACACCTTCTCAGGCATGAAGGTCTAGTCAGAGACATATTAGAGCCAGAAACAGGAATTAAGAGGATGTGGGATGTTCTAGTTTTAGGGAAATGCGAAGATTAGCTCAGGATATGAAAAAGTAGAGGTACGTGTCCAACCAGTCTTAGGACTGACGACCTTACGATGATGATGATGATGTGTAGTCTATTCTACTGTAAGTTCTATAATATAATATTGAATGCGGCAGTAAAAAAAAATATAGTGAGGTACTCAAACTCAAGCGATCGATTGTGTTATAGCTGCGGCTGATTTTTCCGAGGAACATTATAATGAAAAACCGCCACTCCAATCTTGACATAATACAACCGAGGAGTGATATAATCATCAAAAGTATAATATCGAGGTGTACGCTGTTAATATTTAACCTTTCACACCTGTATGTAAACCGATGGGTGTTGGGGTCGTTTGTTTTTCGCTCGGGTTTACTTGTGCTATCGGGCGTTTTGCGNGTCTAAAATAGTTTGTAATTAATATGGAATTTAAGAAAAGAGACAAAAAAATGGAAAAAAAAATTCATGCTTGATATTTCTTATATATGAACTTTATTTACAATATTGTCTTTTTATTTTCAGGGTAGCACAGTTGAGGATTTGTGGTTACGGTAAGTAAATTTAGTTATAAATTTTTCTAAATTATTTTTCGTACGTGTAGGGACAGATATACATAAGCAAAATATTAGTATGTTTAGATTTGTAGCTGATATAGTAGTAATAGCATCTAGCAAAGAGGAGTTTGAGATAAGTTTAAATAAAATAAAAAGATTGTTAACGGTGTATGTACGGGTGCGAAACACAGACAGTGGGCGCGGTGGAAAAGAAAAGGTTAGAAATTAAGAGGTATTAGAAAGAATAGGAGAACAGAGGACTCTACGGAATTCGATAAGAATAAGGAGAGATAGGTTGGTAGGACATCTTGTCAGGCATGAAGGTCTAGATTAGATTACTGTTCGAAAAAGTTAAGAATGTGGGATGTTCTAGTTTTACGGAAATTCGAAGATTAACTCAGGATAGCAAAGAGTGAAGGTGCGTGTTCAACCAGTCTTAGGATTGACGACCTTATGATGATGATGATTCTACCGTAACTTCTATAATATAATATTGAGTGCGGCAGTAAAAAAAAATATAGTGAGGTACTCAAACTCAAGCGATCGATTGTGTTATAGCTGCGGCTGATTTTTCCGAGGAAAATTATAATGAAAAAGCGCCACTCCAATCTTGACATAATACAACCGAGGAGTGATATAATCATCAAAAGTATAATATCGAGGTGTACGCTGTTAATATTTAACCTTTCACACCTGTATGTAAACCGATGGGTGTTGGGGTCGTTTGTTTTTCGCTCGGGTTTACTTGTGCTATCGGGCGTTTTGCGATCGGCGAGAGTCAGTGCCAGTGAGGCCGAATGCGATTGCAGGCCCACTTAACATAGAATGATATATTACCATAAAGATTGTGTCGTGATTTATGGGTTTATCGTAGCCAATCTCGGCGCTGTGATTTATATTTTACGTGTAAAACTCTACACGTACATTTGCTTCCCCGTTTATCGGCTATCGCAAAAGTACAATCGCAATTACGAAATTGTACAACACATCACGCTGTTTACAATGAAATTTTACAACTTGGAACATTATTTTTTTTGTGATATTATGTTGAATCGTGTATCATAATCATCATCATCATCATCATTAGCATTATCATTATCATCTTCGTGTTCTAAGCCAATCTTCGCATTTCTCAAAAATAATTGCAACTATTTGCAGCCAGGAGTCTAATCTGAGTTTCCCTTCCTTACTCCTGTTTCTGCATCTAATACTCATCTCATTCTTTAATTTCTAATCTAGCCTATAACACCAAATATAAGGCGTTAGATTTTGTTGCGCAGGTGCTACACTTTCTGCGGTTTCGGTTGTACATTAGTTTTTCAGTGGGTATTACACTTATGCCTGTTACTTTCTGTGTTTTATCAGTTTGATCGGCACCACGTCCATTTGGAAAAACGACAGTTCGCATAATATCTGCTAAAGCAGTCGAATATCGTTAAGTAAGAACAGCGTTTGCCTCAGGTCTCCTATAATAATAATATTTTTTTTTTCGTGTATTTTGGTAGCATTGACTTTTAAGAAGTGTTTGATCCGTCCGATTTCTTAAAGATGGTAACCTCGACATTTGTGGTCCGGTATGGATCTCCGTTCAGCCGATTTTTTCCCACACAACACGACTTATTTTAACATTCCCATGATGTATTTTTAATGGACACTTTGAGAAATATATGTAGACCAGTAATACGTTTAGTGGGATAGCCTGATGGGAAAATCTTCCAGGAATTTCAACGAAACTTTAAAGATCTGTAGTAATAACATAGGCTTCTACACAAATCTTTTAAATACCAAAAGAAAAGTAGAAAACTCGGTAAATGTCTAGATGATGGCTCCCACCCCTTCGGGGGTGAGGATGAGGGGGATCGAAAGAAGAGGTCTCCCCCACTACTGTACCATAAAAATTTCGTGGCGATCTCACCCCCATAAAAAGTTATGGGGGTTAGATGGGAGTGGGGGGATCGAAAGAGGGTAGGGGGGTCGCAAGAGGGTGGTCACCTGAGTAAAATCTCATAAAAAATTTACGGCGGTCTCATCCCCATAAAAAGTTATGAGGGTTGAAAGTTAATTATTTTGACAATTTTCATACACTATAATTCAAATAAAATTCAATAAAAAAAATATTTTCAAGCGGGTGGAGGTGGGGGATCGAAAGAGGGTGGTCACTTGAACAAAACCCGATAACCTAACCTAACCTA